AAAAAAACGACAACAACAAAACCATCGAAATGACGATCATTTCGATCACTGGTACCTAAAGGTACCACAACAGTAAATGTCTCCTCTGTTTGTTAATCCAGTCCTACGTACATACTGTACAGCACTTTCAGACAGGGACTTACTTTGTGGCTGCAACCTATCCGGGACTTTGCCAGTTTCAAGTAGCAACCAGAGGTCGGAGCATTTCTGCGTTTCCCAACGTGTCACAGCGTAGCTACCTACCGATGACCCCACTGAGAGAGAGAAGAGATGGAGACTTTTTAGAAAGCAGGGGGTGTGTGAGGGGTTACATATTGACTTCTCACCGATGGAAACAAGCAAATTCCACTGCAAGGGATAAGCAAGTCTCTTTTGTAGAATCTTCTGCAGAGCAAAAAGGCCAACAGCACCTGTAAGAGAAGGTCAAAATGATATCCAACAACTATGATAACATGGCACAGGCTCACGGGTAGTGAACGATTTTTTTAGATTCAAGTAAAAGCTGTAGCCTGACATTCTGACAATCGAACAATACTTGCAGGGATTCATTTTTTTATCCTCTGCTAAAAAACACTAATATTATATTGTCTGTATGTCTTTGTTATACTGCCCACTGGTGGCCAAAGTAAGCACAACGTAGGGCTGGAGTGGCATTTCTGTTCATTTTCAATTGGGAAAGAATATATGTATTTTGGCTCAAAATGGTGTTCTTAAAAAGATGAAATGCACAAAATTAATTACTCAGAGATGGAGCAAATACGTATGACCCAGTACTTTGGTCCACATCTTCTAACACACATGCCTGAGGGTTCTTCGTCCTCATGTGGTAGCTACTAGATTTATCTTGGAAATTATTTATCTCCTATTTAGTGGAGGTTTTCAACAGGACAGTGCAAAACTGCAATGGAAAAAAAATCCAAGTTGGTAAAATAAGTAAAAATTACAATAAAATTCATAAATTAAAAAACACGCACCAAGAATAAAGGTTCCAGTCCCCTTCATGAAGGCGTGAGACTGACAGGCGGCATACCTTTCTAAGCCCTGAAAGACAAAATTACTTAAAATGAAGGACGATAATGTCATATTTTCATTTATATTTTATATTACACACAAGTGTTATCGTGAGTGTATAATGATGCAAAAGGCAAAACACGTCACGCTAAATTGTAAACGCTCACCGGGTGTTTCGCCACCAGCTCGTCGTCCACTCGAGTGAGACCAAGATTGACCATTTCGTATATTACAATCTGAGTTTTAATGCTATTTCACGGATAGTAACATTGGATTTTGTTGACATTACCAGTACCCGGA